ACTTGCGCAGTGCAGGGCAACTCAAACATTGTATCTTTTCCCTCATAGCTCTGGAAAATTCCGAGAGGAACCAGCGCAGGCGCTGTTTAACCCATCAGTGTGGATTCATAGAGAACCACGTTAAAGAAGCCAAGGGTCATTGTCCATACATTCCAGGTGCCCAGCTTTAGGGCAGAAAACAATGAAACAAGTAACTTATACTGAACATTCACCAAAGTTCTGATGTTCTTATGTCATCCTTGCTTTAATAATGGGACTAGCTTTGTGATCCTGAATATAGCAAAACAGATATAAATATGAGCCTGATCTAAGCCATGTTAGGGTTCAAGACACAGACACGGTGGGGGGGGGGAGAATGTGAATTCACTTGGATTCTCTTGCTACGAAGTTGCACGGAGACATCTGGTTCTCTTTGATATAAGGAGTCACACAGTTTTTTTTTCAGGTTAAGCCTTGGTATTGCAGTTCTGTCTGAAGCTCCTGTATGAGGCATGGCTCAAATGAACTGCCTTAAAAGGCTTCCCCTGCCTCAATGACTCCTTATCTTATCTTGTTTACTGGAGAGCTTGATAAACTGTAATAAATAAATAAACAGTGAGGAGCTCTGTCCATTGAGGAGAAGCTGTAAAAAAAGTGTGGAATCTTTGCTGAGAAAGTGAGTGCTGGTGTTGCTTGTCTATATGTGTGTAGGGGGAAAAAGCCATATCAGTGTGTGCATGCGTTCATGCTCTCCTTGTCCTCCCTCTTGAGACAAGAAGTGAGAGAGAAGGTGCTTTGCCAAAGCATCATGTGTTCTGTGTATGCCTGCAAGCACTTGGTTGGGTTTTCCTTTCTGCAGGGGTTCTCTGGTGGCGAGGAAAACTATGGATTGGGGCTGTGGGACTCTGATCTGATTCATATTTCCTGTTGCATCAGCCCACCCCAAAAATCAGCCCACCCCAAATTCATAGTATTTCCCGCATTTTTTTTCTTGACTATCTGACCCTTGACTATTATGATGATTTTCCTGAGCCTTGAACATTATGATAATTTTCCTGACCATCTGAACTGGTATTTTTCACTGTTGGATTTCATTATAGGAATTCTTAATGTGTTGCTCTTACTTATCAATACTACTCTGATGAAGAGGATGCTAAAAATAAATAACAATAAATAATAACAATACATATTTGCACACTGTTCCTAATTATTGAAAAAACTATATAAATATATATACCTTAATATTTAACTATACAATAACAAATAAATCTGGGTTTTTCGGGCTCTTTGGCCATGTTCTGAAGGTTGTTGTTCCTAACGTTTCACCAGTCTCTGTGGCCAGCATCTTCAGAGGACAGCACTCAGAGCCCGAAAAACCCAGAACAACCATTAGATCCCGGCCGTGAAAGCCTTCGCGAATATAATAAATAAAACAACTAATGTATTATGGTCTCCATATAAATGGCCAGGAAGGGTGCAGATAAGTGTTTTTGGAGAGTTAAAAGGTGGCCAGCCAGCCATATTTTGGCTGATTCTTTTAAGCACTGCATTATAACATTGTAAAGACCTGAAGCAGGGATTAGGCTGATTGCCAGTTATCACCAAGGTTTATTTTGCTTATGTATATTCCATATCTTCCATAATAAAAAAATCAAGGTTAATAGTAATGCTATATATTTTCAAATATACAGAAAGCGTTCATTTTGCTGATCCTTTGTATCAGGGATAGGTAGCCTGTTGTCCTCCTGATGTTAGACTGCTCAACATCAGGTTGCCCACCCCACTTTATTTGTTTTCTCTTAAAGACTCCTTCATAATTGTGGTCCTATATGAATAGAAAATAACAGAAGTACATTTACTGCTAGTAGTCTTTACCTTCTGCAGCCAAGTTTCCAAGAAACCTCTCGAATCCGTGCAGGGGGTGACAAAGGAGTGTTGTGGCCTTCCACAGTGCTGACAGTGCTAGGGTAGTTTGGTGGGCTGGAGAAGCGGCTCAAGGCAGTGTTGTTGGCATTGTTGATGTTAGCATTAGAGCCAGATGATGAGTAGCTGCTTGGAGTGAAGGTAGAATCCACAAGCTTCTCGTGGGATGGAGATTCAGTGTCTCCTTGGCTGTTGCCAGACTTGTTGATGTGCAAAGGGCGCTGAGTGGTGAAAGTTTGAGGGAATGAACTTCTCCCATCACTTTGGTAGTAGTTGACATGATTTCCAAATAATCCACCAGCTCTCTGTTAGCAAAATGAAAAAAATTAAGTGAGTTAATCAAAGGCCTACTTCAAATGTGGCTATTTCTTTGAGGTCAGGCATAGTTGATTCTTTGTAGAAGTTGTTCTGGGTTCAAGGTGGAAACATGAAATACAGTATGCATCTCCATTCAAAACATATTTTCTTGATAAAATTTATTGATATGTAACTCTTATCAGGAACAACTTACATGAACAAATCAGAATGAAACCGGAAGGAAGGGGAAAGTTAGAATCTCAAAGATCCAAAGTGTGTAAGTACAACCAGATAAAAGGAACAGGATCTTATTACTCTTTTCTTAATCAGTTCAGAAAGAAAGATCATATTAACATCAACATTCCAGTTCATCTACTTGTAATAGGAAAGACTTGTCTCTGAAAACTCAGCATAATTAGCAAAATGTCGTAGTTTCCCCACTGCATTGTGGTGTTGAAGGAGAGTGTTGTGAATACCATGAATTGCCAGAAAGAGATATAAATTAGTGGAAGATCAAATCAAGCCTGAAATCTCCCTAGAAGCAAAAATGACAAACTAAGGTTATTGTATGTTGGGCACACCATGAGAGGAATTACTGGAAAACAGCAATATTGGGAAAAGTTGAAGACAACAGAGAAGAAAACAAAGACCAAATAGGAGATGGATTGACATGATAAAGAAAGCTATAGCCTTGACTTTGTAGAGCTGCAGAGGGCTATTGATAGGACCTTTTGGAGGTCACTATATATGGGATGCGACTTGGTGGCACACAACAAAAACAACTCTTTTCCACATCATTGCATCTCATGTTGCCAGCTATTTTGTTTGGCTGGCTCTCTGCTGTTATTTGGTACTTTTTTTCCTTTATGATGGACAAGTATCTATCCAGACCAGCACACTGTGCCTGCATACCTCTGAGCTCCATGCCAATATTCCTTATGTTTCCCCCTGCCTTTGTTGCACTGGAGCCAAGCACACCCATGCACAACTCACTTTCAGTTTGGGGAAGGAACAGAGATCGACACGTTACCTACCTGTAATTGTAGTTCTTCGAGTGGACCTCTGTGATTCCCATAGTGTGATTCACAGAGGCCACGAAGAAGAACATGAATAAACAAGGGAGAAACTTACACTTCTTATAACATTTACAATCAATAGCAATAACAACCATTCTCCTGCTCCAGAGAAGTAGAACACAAATCTGGGAGAATAAATCAAACTATAGCAGGCACTGGAGTGAGAAATTAATACAAATGAGGAGGATGGGGGATAAGGATGGACTTGGAATGGAAGAAGATGCTCATGATGGTTCTATCACAAATCCAAAAAATCATTCCTCCCTGGAACACAACATTATGGGAACATCAAAACGTGGCACATCAATTGAGACATCTTACTGGAGTTTTACTTGCCACTTTTGTACCAGTATGAAAAACAATCACTTTTTCTCATTCATTACATGGGCCAATATACTACATTAGGCTGTGTTATTAAATTAACCAACTCCAAGCAATATACATTCTGTTCCAAGATAAAAGCATGGACTGTGGTATAACTCCTATTTGAATCTCTCCACTCTTTTTGTTCTTGTCCATTAGGACTATTAGCCGCTAAGAGTCTTTTTGTCTATGAAATGGCTATCTGCTGACAATCTTCAAGTGATTTTTTTTTCCTTTTCACAAACAGGTCTGAGATAGTTTAGTTAGGCTGTTTTGAAAGTAAACTTTTTTTTATTGCCACTTAACCTGTTTTCCCCACACCTCTTGCTTCTCCATCCCTAAACTCAGTTATTATGTGCTGTCAATCATGAATGAGTAATCTCCAAAACGTTCTATCCTCAATATCTCTATGAAGCTCTTGCAAACTCAAGGCTGTTGCTTCCTTTAGGGAATCAATCTATCTCATATTTGGTTTTACTTTCTTTCTGATGCCTTCAACCTTTCTCAGCATTATTGTCTTTTCTAAGAATACAGTCTTTTTAGTAAAGCTTCCTAATTCTGAAACTGAGGTTTGACTGCATGCTTTTGATTGCATTTCCATTGCATGTCAGATTGTAGTTTCACATTTTACAGTAGACCAAGAGGAGAAAAGACCAAACACTCTCAACTATTGTATGGGAGGTAACTGGTAGATGCCGACTACCGGACTGAGTATTAACCCGCACAACCTAGTAGTTGTGCTTCATCAGAAATTGAAAGCTGCTGAGAGGTAATGATAGGTTTAAATTATAGCTGGAGTTAATGAGGGGCCAGCCCCTGGGGCTGGACCATCCACTCACATCCGGTCCTGGCAGCGGCCTCTCTCTTCTTTCCAATTGCTCTGGAGTGCCGCTTGGCTAGCCACTCGACAGCCTTGCAGCGAGACTTGTCCTCCCTCCCTCAGCCAGGAGTGGCTAAACAACTGGGAAGAGAACAGTGCTCAGGAGTGATTGGAAGGATGAGCGGGGCTGGTGGCAGATGTGTGAGTGGACCCTTGTTAACTCCAGCTGTGCAGGGATATTCGTATATGAATACCCCCATCTCTAGTTTAAAGTTTGGTTGTGCTAGAGCTACTCAATTAGCAGTACACTAGATAGGGTCAGGAGCTGAGATCGGGGACTCAGAACTGAAGAACCAGCTCAGAAATACAAGTAACTACTACAACTCAGAATTTATTGTCCAAACAAAACAGCTAAAAATTTAAATCTTTTGTCTGCTTTTTTGCATGTGAACAGCTAGTGGCCAATCAAACGTGGAAGGTGTTTTCCTTAGAGGTTGCAGTTCATTATAGAGTAGAATGGCCAACCATTCCTTCAGTGATATCACAGACTGGATTTAGCTGTAAATTGCTGGGCAATTTTTAAACTTAGTATATATCTGTAATATAGTTTTGTCTGTAATATAATTGAATATTGGGAATATAACTGAAGAACAAGAAAAGAATAGATATAAAATACAATAAAGTATGTTGTGGTATGAATTAGACAAATACCAAGTTTAGACTATTTCTATGAAGAATATTTCTAATGAATAATATTTCTTCTTTTATAGTTCATTACAGGGTAGGATAGATTCATAGAAAGATAATATGAGAAATTTGATTCCTTGACTTATAATAAAGTATACATTGTAAAGTCTTCATCTGACAAGGCTGTGGAAGGGACGTAGGTTCTGGTCAGATATCGTAGATTTAGCTGATGAAATTTTAGACAATTATCAGTTATGCTTTACTAAATTATATTATTAGTAAGAGACAACAGACAAAATTGTATTAAGGTTTTATGTCAGCATAACACAATCCGCATAAATTCTATAACAAATAACCATAGGTTAAGAAGTTAGCATAGGTATTTGCAGTTGCACATGGAGTCCATGAGTATAATTAATAGGCCCACAACAATAAATGCTTTTTTGCTATTCTTTACCTTGTAATGTGACCTCATTACCATAGGCCCCATGTTTGTTGAAGTGCAACTTCCATACCCTTCACCTTTGCTATGAGGATCAAAGTATCTAGAGAACCACAGTAGCCTCATGGAGAAAATACTTACCCTAAATATATCATCTTCAGAGGCAGCAGAAACAGCTTCTTTCATTGCCTTGTCCAATTCCTCTTCTGCTGTTAAGTCTCCAGAAATTGCCCGTCGAATCTCAGGTCCAATGTCATGTAATGTACGCAAACCAGCCTGAAGATAGTATAATTAAGCATATAGATATGTAAGAGAAATAAGTAATACATTTAACATTAAAAGCAGAAATCTGATACCTATATAAGAACCTTTATAAAAACATAAGAATGTGGGTATGTTTGTAGGTATGTACGTAAGAAAAGCCTACACTGTCTGGGGAATTCTAGTAGTTGTAATCCAAAAACACAAAACTGCACACCTCTAGTATGTAATGGCCAAGGCTTCTGCAAACCATTGACTCTCAATGAAATTGCATGTTGTAGCTAAGATTGCATCAGATGCCATGGTTTATTTGAATTCCAACAGATTTCATTCATCACCATTATTTGTACTGAATAGGATGGGATATTTTAGTTCCCCAGAGTCACCTTTTCTTGCACAGTCCAAACTGAATTAAACCTGTAATATAAATGTTCTATGACAAGTTCCTCAGATTCATTGGGATATTTGTCCCAGCAAAAAAATAGTTGGGACAAATACCGTCCTGAAAAATCTTTGGGATTTTGCTATTGGAACACCTTCCTGTCCTAACAAATAAAAATAGGAAGAGATGTCCCTTTTTGCTGAACAATCATACCAAGAAGAAGAAGAGACATATTCTGTTTATCAGTAGGATTGCACCATCGAGTTGATGCCATTTGGAGGATGTTGCAATTCTCACTGAGCTCCAGAAAGACAAAATGTGTACAATCATAGCCATTACTAATCCTCAATACACTAAAATTCTCATGTGGTCATAAAATACCCATAACTTCATCTTAATCTTAAGATTAGCTATCCAGCAGCTCCTTACACAATGCATGTTTTTAAAAAAGGCAACCTTTCCTCCTAAAAACTCTATAGTCCTGAACATGGTGTAATACTATCAGAGTAATTTTCCTGCATCTGGTATTTCAGAGAAAATTTTACATATAATGCGATGTAAGAGAATTTAAATTTCTCTGATTACTCTCACAGAATTAAATTACCTGTCCCACAGTAAAAGTATCACTTGCATTCAGATACTGCCATCAGAAACCTAGGTTGCCTGGGTATACCATGCGATCACCCTTGTTATAAATACTAATATATACTAACAGCACAGTAATATGCACGTGCATTCAGAAGTAAGTCCCACTGAATTAAACTAGAATTACTTCCATGTAAGTACCATAGGTATAGAATTATAGCCTAAGAGTAGCATAATTTGGGTGGTATACTAGCCACAAAAATAAAGCCAGTTGTACTGCAGAACTACTGCTGAATTACATAATCTAGTGGCAGCTGAAAAAGCCATATTATTCTTTCAGAATAAAATACATGTGCCTTGGTTCTTACTTGTACTGCAGAACTACTGCTGAATTACATCAATCTAGTGGCAGCTGAAAAAGCCATATTGTTCTTTCAGAATAAAATACATTATTGTGCCTTGGTTCTTATAGAAAAATCTAGCTTCTTTAATGATTGCTGCTACATTACGGATTTTCTTGAAAGACAACCTGCATGTTGGCCACCCCATTCCTAACTTGTGTGACAGTGAAATCTATTTATACTTAATCTAATACTAGGATTTGCAGTAATCTGGTAGGAAGTGGTAGCTCTGTGGCATTTGAATGAAGTTGTTTTGGGAAATCTTTGGGCCTCATTATATGAGACACAGAGTTTGCATGCAGAAGCAGCACACAGTTAAGAGGAGAAGACTAATTAGTCTAACATGAGCTTGCCTCAATCCATATTTGGCATATTAGCTTTCTTTTGATTTGTAGTTGGTCAATTTCAAGATAGCATGGTTTTGTTTCAGACACCATAATGTTGTAAGAGGAAGAAATAAGCTTTTGCTTTAACCTGGGATCTGACACTTTCTCAAAACATTAAGTGAAAAAGAATTTATTTAATTATCTTAAATATTTTTACCTTACCTCTTTCCTTAAAAGGACCCAAAGGATCATTTAGATAATTATTTGGAAGGGTAATAGACATTGCTGGATGAAATTAGTCAATGGTTGAAATCCTGTTGCTTAGTGGAGTAAGTAGAATAGGTCAATTGAATCAGTGACGATTTGGTGAATAAACTAATCTTTAAGTTCCATTGATTCAAATTGGCCTGCTCTAGCTGCAACTTATTTTAGAATAGTAAGTCACTGTTAGAGTAGGCCCACTTAAATCAATGAAACTAACAGAAGAGTTGATTCACCTAATACTGATTCAATATGCCTATTCTTCAGTGACGATTTGGTGAATAAACTAATCTTTAAGTTCCATTGATTCAAATTGGCCTGCTCTAGCTCCAACTTATTTTAGAATAGTAAGTCATTGTTAGAGTAGGCCCACTTAAATCAATGAAACTTACAGAAGAGTTGATTCACCAAATACTCACTGATTCAATATGCATATTCCTGTACAATTTATTGTGCTAAGCAACAGGATTTCAACCAGTGTTATAATGTTAAGCAATTTGATGCTGACCCATATTCTGTTTTCATTTTTACAGGTCTAAGTCTTTGAGCTCATTTCTTACCTGGAGAGACAAAGCATTTCGTTGTGAAGGTTTGCCAACAAGGCCCTGTTCTTTGCGTTTCTTGAATTTCCGGAAATATTCTTGAATCAGGAATGTAGCATAGAACTTTCCAACTGTTACCTCATCATCTAGGTGAGAAACATTTATGACAGTTGTTTTAGAAGAGGTAGCTGTGTTAGTCTGTGCTAACATGCCAGGCAAAAACAAAACAATAATAATATCCTGTTTCCCTAAGAAGAAGAAGAAGAAGAAGAAGAAGAAGAAGAAGAAGAAGAAGAAGAAGAAGAAGAAGAAGAAGAAGAAGAAGAAGAAGAAGAAGAAGAAGAAGAAAAAAATAATGCTGTACCACCATAAATACTAACTGCTATAATGTGAGCTTTCATGGACACTATCTGAGTTTTATTTTGTTTTTGCCTGAGGAAGAAGAAGAAGAAGAAGAAGAATGAGTTTTATTTTGTTTTTGCCTGAAATTTATAATAAATGAACAAATAGGAAACTCAAGTTTGATACTTTTCTCATTCATTGATGAACAGCTATGTATTGACATTAGTGTCCAGCAACTTGCCCCTACACAGGAGGCCTCCACACTAATTGATCCTCTGATGGAAGCAGAAAGTGTACATTGTAAATTGAACCCCATTTTCTTGTTAGACTCAGCGTTTGAATAGGGCGTTGATTCCTGGAGAATTTTCATGGGCTATAAACAAAACCTCTTCTGTCTTCTTTCTCACACCTCCTCTCACTTGCCTTCTTGGTGGGTGCTCCTCTTTGACTTCCTTTGTCTTCTGATTTCTCCATTGCCTTTATCTAGCTTACTGATTCAGGATCCTCTCTGCTGTCTTCTCTCTTGTCCCTCCTACTTCTTCTGTCTCATCACACTGGGTTATATAAATGTGCCAATTTTCAGTGCAAATCAGATGGGTTATTAAAATAAATTTTAGACGCTGAGAGGAATCATTGCAGGACAGTTTGTTAAACTGTCGGGTTGTAAAGTGAGCTGTTTTAAACTGGAGTTTGCCTGTGTACAGAAAATCTGTTCTCCCACTGAGAGTTTCCCTGTGATATCCAGAGCATGACAGTGTTAGAGAATGAGAGTTGAAATAATTGCAAAATTGAAAGAAACGTGCACCCACCACCTGCTGGAGGCACAACCTGATCCAACAGCTTCATGCTAGTGCGCTTCCATATCTTCTTAATGATTGCTCGCAGCTCTTCATTAGCTTGCTCCAGGTTACCTGCCAGAGAGAACAGTAGCCAGAGGAGTAATTAGGGGCTTAAGTCCATTCTTATACAAAACTGCAGCCAATCCTTTCTCTATTTTAGACTGGGCTAATTGAGCATGCCACTGGAGACTTGTTCTCAAAGATATTGGGACTGTAGGTACCAGGTAAAGCAGGGCAGATATATTATGAACACTGTTCCTATGTCCGATGTGAAGAATTCCATTACTAATTTTCACCTGTGACTGGATACACCTAAAACAAAACTCATACCCAGCCAGCTGTTTTTTTAAATATGATGTGGCTGCATAAAACAGCCAGAAGAGAACACAATGATAACGAGAGGCAGAAAGTAAAAAGATACAGCAGCAATACATATTCTACCTTTATCCACTTTAATTGAGCAAGCTCAGGCTCATCAGCTTGTGACTGAAATAGGAGGTACCTTTGCTTCCTTTTGAGAGTAGATGGGTAAGTATTTTTAAAGTATTTCTTATTTTATAGTATAATCCTATACTTGTCAATTGATAACACAGTCCCATTGTTTGCCAGAGCTAAGGCAAGATAAGGTTGTTTTCTAGGTAAATATAGGTAAGACTGTAGCCACAGTCTTTACCTTTTCTTTTACATTGTGAAAAAAATGTCTTGTGGTTGTTTGTGGGGTGAGTTTTTAATCCAGCCAGAACTTACTGTTCATGCTTACTCATTTGACTTGAGACCTAATGGTGGAGCATACACTTAGCATGCTATAGCCCCTGGGTGCATTCTGTTATCCAGGCATAGATAAAAATACTGTGAATGCTCTGTCCTATTACTCCATCTTGTTGCTAGAACTGCAGTCATTATCACTATATCAAAAAAAGGGAATACTAGTGAAAATGTGCTGCCCATTGTACTGCTGAGATATGACCTAAACGTGTCCAGGATTCAGTTATGATTTCTGTCAAGTGACTTGTTTGTTGTAAGTTATCTTTTTTAAAATCTTGTTTGTTTCCATAATTGACAATGGGGAAATTATTACATAATGGACAAAATGCTCCTTTTCTTCTGTATCTTCACATCCAAGACTGAAAGTTCTAGAGTAAAATTCCTTGGACTATTATGTCTAACTGAAAGATTGGGACACCTATGTGGGATAGTGGTTTTTTTCTGGCATGAAACGAGCACAGTGCTACAAATAATCCCTTTTTTGTGTATGTTTGTTCAGAACACTCTTTTCACAGCTGAGTTTTATCATTGTTCCCAAGCACAAAAAAGGCATGCAAGAGCAACGAGGCTTTCTGAAATGAGATAAAACATTGTTTCTGAAATTGTGAATTGCAAAGATGAGCTTGAATTTGCCTCTAGCAATCTCACTCCCATTCTACCAATCACAGCCACTGGCTACAGCTTTGATACCTTACCTTCTGTTTTGATCCTCAGTGCTGTTCGAACGAGTGCAAACAAAGTTGCATTAAACATTACTGTCCCATCACTATTCAGTGGCATATTCATGGAGACAAGACGCTATCAGGGTAGGAAAGACAGAGAAAATGATATTGAAAATGCCAAATGAGTCATATTCATTCATACAATGTTCTCTCACAATTTTTCAAGATTAACCCAAAGATTGCTGCTCACTTCATTCCTTTTCCTTTCTAATTATATCTGGACTAGATTTGTCCAGAATAAGATTATTTCAATAGCATGCCCAACTTATTGCTATGCCCGCTAACTCTTCAGTAGGGAGTGAACATACAGTTCATACTAAATGCAGTAAAAGGGAAATCCATACGTGTTTATAATGTGTGAGTTTGGGGTTTACTTGTTTATTATATATATTCACCACCTTTCTGCCAATACAGTCAAAACAGTTAAAAATAATCATGTACTGTAGTTTCTATGGACGGAAAAGAGCAGATACGGATTAAATGGTTTTCAATGCATTCCTATGGGAAATGCAGATTCAACATAAGAACTTTTCAACTTGAGAACCACCTTCCAATACGGATTAAGTTCTTAAGTAGAGACCCCACTGTAATGCTATTGTAAAAGACGGGGAACCAAGATAAAAAAGGATCCAGTAGAAGAATGAAAGTATATCCAGGTAGCAATTCTTCCTGTTAAATAATTGTTATAATAACCAGATAGACTGACTTGTGAGAGAGACAGTTGTGAGATGGGAAGAAGCTAAATGGCAGCTGGTTCTAGCCCTATGGTCATATGGACTTGCTGTTTTAGGTTTTTCTAAAGTACTTCCCCTCTCAGTAGGCAAAAGCAAACAGGGGTTTTGTAGTTCATTGAGATAAATGCTTGCCTTTTCCTAAGACATTTCCTTTTTTAGTGATAACTAGCAGACCAGAGGAATGCTGTCTAGATGTGCCCTAAAAATTGTTTCCTAGCAGAATATTTAGTGACTACAGTGGAAGAGATAAATGATAAAACTAGACTACACAATGAAGAGAAATCACAAGACAGCCTTAATGTCTATGTTCTAGGACTACGGCATAGATTTAACCAAATGATGTGCCATATTGTATAATCAATATCGGAAGGTGTAGATTTTTTTCAAGGATTACTGAGCCATAAAAATCTTATGCCTACAACCTTTTCTTAAGTCTGGTCACACATTATTAATAGCAGAAATAATATGAGGGGAAAGCTTTGAAAAGTTGGCCTGATCTGTTAAAAACCTTTCATTGTACATGTGATCACCCAACCCTATCCCTGTCCTATCCATATTTTATTTCCTAATGTAATTTTTCAGAGTACAACGATTTCCTGCTATTTTCTTTCCTGACATAAATGAAGAAAAGAGGTGTTATGTGCCATTAATATTGCTTCTGATTAATATAGCAAGCTTAACAGGTTTTCAAGGTATGTGAAATGCTCAGAGAATGGTTTGTCAGTGATAGTAATCCCTGCCTCCTGGGCTTCCAGACTGAGTGGGGATTGATTCAGCTATTTTAAGTTCTAGTCCAGTACTCTTATCTAGCACACTGGGTCTTCTAGTAAGGAACAGTAGCACCAAATAGATGAAGAACAAGCGTTGAAAGTATGTTAGGCTTTATAATTAGCATTTATTTATTTATTGTTTGTTTGTTTGTTTGTACGTACGTACGTACGTACGTACCCCACCTTTCTCCTTAAAAGTAGCCAAGGGGGCTTAGTTCATTAAAAGACAATATTAAAGCTAACCATGATAAATATGCAGATACTAAAAAAGAATCAAACAAATGCCATACAAAAACCATAGGCAACACCAAAACACATTCAAAGCAGTAAGGAACAGGAATCCATTTAAAAAAATGCAATCAGGCAGCCAGTCAAGGGAAAGCCTGCTTGAAGAGAAAGTTCTTTGACTGCTTGCTGAAGGACAGCAAAAATGGGACCAGCCTCGCCTCCTGTGGGAGAGAGTTGCAAAGTCTGGGAGACAGAAGGGCCTCTCTTGCGTATCCACCAAATGCACAAGTGAAGGTGGGGGAAAACAAGAGAAATGCTTCATCTGATTATTTTTTTATTTTATTTTATTTATTTATTGTATTTATATCCCGCCTATCTAGTCAATTATGACCACTCTAGGCGGCTAGAGTCTTAACATTTCAGCAGGATCATAATGAAGATGCTTGGGCCCAAGCCATTTAAGGCGTTATAGGTTAAGAACCAACACCTTGAATTCAGCCAGTGGAGCTGCTGTTACAGGGGGGATTAGGTGATCCCTGTAACCAACCTCAGTCAATAATCTGGTTGTTGTGTTTGGCACCTGCTGAAGTTTCCAGACACTTTCATAAGACAGTCCCACATAGAGAACATGACACTAATCCAGCCTGGATGTAACTAATGCATTTGTCACCATGGCCAGATCAGACTTCTCCAGCATATTAGTTTAAATTGTGCAAAGGCACTTCTGGCCATTGCCAAAACCTGGGCATCCAGGCTCAGAAATGAATTTAGGAGCACCTCCAAGCTGCGCACCTGTGTTTTCAGAGGGAGTGCAACCCCATCAAGCACAGGCTGGATTCCTGTTCCCTGATCTGCCTTTTGACTGACCAGGATCAGCCCTGTCTTGTCTGGATTAAGTTTCAGTTTATTCAACCCCATCAGTCCATTACTGACATGATACTTTGATCTGGAGCTGAGAGACCTTCAGATTGAGATGGCAAGGAGAGACAGAGTTGGGTATCATCCACTTACTGATGACACCAAACCCCAAAACTCCAGACAACCCAGCAGTTTCGTTTCATGGAGATGTTACCGTAAATAACATAGAAGACAAAACAGAACTCTGAGAGACCCTGCAGACCAGCAGCCAGGGTACTGAATAGGATTCTCCCACCACTACCTTCTGAGTTCTTTCCTCCAGGAAGGACTAGAAACTGCAGTCAGTGGCTTCCTTCCTCACTTGTTTTAACTCTAATATTATTATTAGTTTATTATTAGTTTTATTTATATGCCACATTTCTCCCGACAAGGGACCCAAAGTGGCCTTAATATTAACACTTTAATACCAAATGCAAATGACAAAGGTTGTGTCCTTTATCTATTCAGTCCCTGAAGCTCACCTTCCCTTAACAAAGAGGTAGGTCTAATGGGGGCACAGCAGTTAACAGATATGATTTGAAAGTTCTTGTCAGGATGATCAGAGATGCTCAGAGCTGGTCGGCAAGAGTATTGATGCCACACTACCCTCAAAACTCCTAATTTTAGGCTGCAACTTACACACTCAAATACTAAAATGGAGGAATTTGCATTTTTAAAATGGTCACATGATACAAAAGCAAATTCAAATCAATCCAGCCCTTTTTGCTCCAGATGCAGGTTTTTTTCATCTTTCAGTTGTTTTGTTCACCAAAAGCACCGGGGGCATACCTGTGGTTGGTATTTTGATGACATACTAAGCTGGGCATGATATATTGAACAGCAGGAACACCCACCTCTTCAATCTTTCATCCCAAAATATTTTTTTATTTTAAAACAAACTACTGAGTCTAGTGCTACCTCTGCACAGACCAAAAAGAGAGAGAGAAAAATCGGTATGAAATAGAAACAACTCCAGTGAACCACAGCAGACTACTATGTATGTATGTATGTATGTATGTATGTATGTATGTATGTATGTATGTATGTATGTATGTATGTATGTATGTATGTATGTATGTATGTATGTATGTATGTATGTATGTATGTATGTATTTGTACATTCGAGAGAACTTTGGAAAAGTGTTGCTTTCCCCTAATGCCATGAAAAACTATAACCCCACTGCCTTTAAAGTGTACAAGGAGAATGGGGATCAGCAGAGGGCAGGATCAAAGGAAAGGTTGGCTGTGGGGTGGATCAAACTGCATCAGATTGAGGGACCAATATGGACACTGCCACCAAAACAATCTGAAGTCTCTATGTGATCATATAATCTAAACAGAAGTATAAAATAGGCTGACAATCAAACTGCCAGTATAGTCACAGCCTTAGGAAGCTGAGACCTGAGAGCACTTAGCAGGCATATGATGAAAGGATATGCCTCAACTTAAGATGAAATTGTGTTACGAGACCTACACAACACAGCATTTCACAGCTAGAGTTCCCATATATTGTACCATAGTTCTCATAATTACCACCCAATATGGCCGATAGGCAGGGATGAACGATGGTGATTATCTTCCAACATTGTCTGGGGACCCTTGGGAGGCAAAGGTTGACAAAAGAAGTACTAGTGTCATACCTTGCAGGCAACGCGATGAGGACAGAGTTTCCCAAAACCCAGTGGAGGTTGTATCCGACGCAGCAGTGTCACCACATCTAGGTGTTTGATACGCCCCCTATAAAAGAAATACAAAAGGTAGTTATCATGAGCAGTTATTTTATTTATTTGTTTATTTATTTATTTGATTCCCACCCCACCCATCTGGTCTAAAAGACCACTCTTAGGAGTGTACTGTATTTAGTTGTCTGAGTGAAATACAATTCTGTGGACCTGAGTGCCTTTATCACTGTTGTTACATGCTGTCAAGTCACCCTTTCAATTAATATAGACTTTGAATGCATGCCATCTTCTAACCCTACCTTTATAACCCAGAGAGTCAAAAATAAAAACAAAAAAGAAACTCACATATAAAGACCACTCTTAGGAGTGTACTGTATTTAGTTGTCTGAGTGAAATACAATTCTGTGGACCTGAGTGCCTTTATCACTGTTGTTACATGCTGTCAAGTCACCCTTTCAATTAATATAGACTTTGAATGCATGCCATCTTCTAACCCTACCTTTATAACCCAGAGAGTCAAAAATAAAAACAAAAAAGAAACTCACATATGTGTATGGTTCTGCTAAAACATACATGTACCGTACTTGCCTTATTCTTTAGTTTGCATTTCTGAAATATTAAATCAACTTCTTATCTTTAGATTAGGCAGTTTATATATAGTAGCCTTCCATGAAAGAACAATCTAAGGCTCCTTGGCCTACTGTTTTGCCTCCCTAAATCAGCTTTGCATGTTTTTATATATGTACTGTGTTTCTCTGAAAATAAGACAGGGTCTAATATTATTTTTGCTCCAAAAACACATCAGTGTCTTTTCCAAGGAGATTTCTCTTCTCATGAGATGGCCAAAGTATTGAACCCTCAGCTTCAGGATCTGTCCTTTCATGGAGCACTCAGAGTTGATTTCCTTCAGAATGGATAGGTTTTTTCTCCTTGCAGTCCAAACCTCAGTTTGGGGAATGTAAGGCTTTTGGAAAAGTTTTTCTACTTTCCAGGTCCTGTCTGGTAATGCTCCTTGTATCTTGACTCTTGCTGTGTCTTCCTTCCTGTGTATGACCTTATCTTGGCTGTGCCTCTTGGAATCTCTCTGCCTATTTGCTGTTTACAGTTAGGCTGGTCAGACCCTAGATTGTTACAGAATTTGGTCTTTGAATCCCTCACTTAGCTTACATTATTTTCTCATAGGGCTTTGTTTCTTGACCTTAGTTCATCTATATGTGTGACAGTTTATAGATGGATAGGTTTGTCCTCCTTGCAGTCCAGGGGACTCTCAAAAGTCTCCTCCAGCACCACAATTAAAAACATCAGTTCTTCAGTGGTCAGCCTTCTTTATGGTCTAGCTTTCACTTCCATACATCACTACTGGAAAAACCATAGCTTTGACTATGTGGACCTTTATTGGCAAGGTGATGTCTCTGCTTTTTAAGATGCTCTCTAGGTTTGTCTTCGCTTTAAGAAGCAGACATCTTTTAATTTCATGGCTGCTGTCACCATCTGCGGTGATCATGGATCCCAAGAAAGTAAAATCTGTCACTGCCTCCATATCTTCCCCTTCTATTTGCCAGGAGGTGATGGACCAGTGGCCATGATCTTCATTTTTTTGATGTTGAGCTTCAGACCATTTTTGGTGCTCTCCGCTTTCACCCTCATTACAAGGTTCTTTAATTCCTCCTCACTTTCTGCCATCTGAGTGGTATCATCTGCATATCTGAGGTTGTCGATATTTCTTCCGGCAGTCTTAATTCCGGCTTGGGATTCCTCCAGTCTGACCTTCCGCATGATGTATTCTGCACAGAAGTTAAATAAACAGGGGGACAATATACAGCTATGCCGTATTCCTTTCCCAATTTTGAACCTATCAGTTGTTCCACAGTTCTGACTGTTTCTTCCTGTCCCACATATAGATTTCTCAGGAGATAGATGAGGTGGTCAGGCACTCCCATTTCTTTAAGGACTTGCCATAGTTTGCTGTGGTCCACACAGTCAAAGAAGTAGATGTTTTTCTGGAACACTCTGGCTTTCTCCATAATCTAGCGCATGTTAGCAATTTGGTCTCTAGTTCCTCTGCCCCTTCGAAAAAATCATACTAGGGCTTATTTTCAGGGTAGGTCTCATTTTTGGGGAAACAGGGTATCTAAAGTGGTTATCTTCAGTCTGAAGGAAGTCCAGTTGTAATTGAAGTGTATGCTATGCCTTAGTAATGGCAGCAAGAGAAGGATTATACTTTCCAGTTCAAATGCCATGACTTCTTGTGTGGCTTACAGTCAAACTAAATGCTTAGCATGTTAGGCAAAAACAAAACAAAAATAAAGAAAAAATATAGTGGCACCTTAAAGACTAACTGCTATATTTTAATGTGAGGATTTGTGGAGAAATCACCTCTTTATATGTGGATTTATCCAGAAAAACTCACATTAAAATATAGCAGTTAGTCTTTAAAGTGCCACAATGTTTTTGTCTTCTTTTTTTAAAGAATTGTTTTTGCCTGACATGCTACCACAGACTAACACGGCTACCTTTTCTAAATGTTTAGCAGAATCTATATTCCCTGGGATTAACAAGTTTTCACTCCAGCAACAGGATTTCCCAAGACAGGAGCCTGAGCAATCATATTTGCAAAATAAGATTGTGTTTGCCTTTCAGTAAATAGTCACAAAACAAAGCATGGCTAATTGCAAAATATGAAAATGAGAAAAGCCACATTTTATGACAAGGAGACATATTTCACTACTTGAGGAAACACCATTCTAAATATATGCTAAGCGTATAAACTAATTGGGTCCCAGTTTTTACAAAAACAAGAGCATTTCACATTACTCTGGCTCAATAGCCTTAGTGATGTGGATATACTGACAGATAAGGACTCAACCTGGGTTCAAATTGCTGCTTGGCTGTGGAAACTCCTTGTGTCACTTACTTTGAAAACCCCTATTAGCGTTCCAATTATTCAAATGTGACTTGATGACATATAATATATTACAGAACTCACCTTCTACAACCAATAAAATAATCCACATATATTCAAATGTATGTGTACAACATTTTTAAAAATACAATATCTCTGATCCATAAAGACAAACAGATGAACAGGGCTTTTAAAAAAATTAAGTAGGTTGATTGTAAGGTTTAAAAAATTGCCCTTAAAATCGCATGATCAGCACATCCTTCACTCATTTATTTAGATTTATTTATTTAAAGAATTGATTATCTACCCTTCCATATGGCATTTTATAACAAAAACGTGGTTTAAAAAATACACATTTTAAATCCCAAAGTTTGAGGACAAGAAAGAAAATTGGCCCAATTCTTTGTACAACATAGTGGTGGGAACTTACTTGGCCTCAGGATCATACTCTGCCCAGATCCGTTTAAACTCATCCAGATGATGAGGACCCAGAATTGACCAATCCCGTGTCAGATAATCAAAATTATCCATGATAACAGCTACAAAAAGGTTAATGATCTGCAAAAAATAACAGAAACAATAATAAAGAGAAAGGCTTTCAAGATAGAATCCTTCATGTTTCAAATTCCTTTTCATGCACAAATGAGGATTTGAGGGTGTGATCAGATAGGGATTTGTCCTACCATTTAGACTGGGTTGAAGACAGACTTCTTTTTCCAGTGACAACACAACATACGTGCCATTGTAAATCAGTATATTTTGATCAATGCCTACCTACAACTTTTTGGATCCCTTTCAGTGGCTATTCCTCTTTTTTTTGAGGGGGGCTTTAGGATTACTCCATTTTGTTTTGGTTCCAGTGTGTGTGATCACTGGGATTGAACCAAAGCTTTGGCAAAGCCACTTAATGATCTTGAGAAATGGAAAGTTTCCTTTCTGCTCACCTTTGGAGGACAAGAGAGAGGAAGTTTTGCATTTCTTTTTCATAATTGCTAATGTATCAGTGATGCTTTGAAAGGTTTTTTTAAAAACCTTGTCAAGGCATTGCTTCTGCTACTGGGTTGATTTGAAACAATTTAAACAATTTTTTAAAAGTGGAAAACTTTGTCAGGCAGTGGCAAGGGAGCTTCCCATTTCTTAAGATCATTAAGCAGCTTTAAGAGGAGTTTTTTTTTCAATAATGAAATTTACCTGTATTTCAATAATATAGTATTCATATAGTATTGTTGGTGTTTGAAATGCTTTGTTTTTTTGACAACATTCAAGTCTTCGTATAGCTACGTTCTTTCTAGGGAAGAGCTCGAAGAAATCATTTGTTGTCTGGAAACCCAGGCAAATTATTGTTACCATAAATAGAAATCTTTATCTAGAAATAGATAGAGTATGTTGAACTAGAAATGTAGCAACTTAAGAAGATAATTTGCTATCTCTGACCAGTGTGGTTTATATCCTCCATGCATTAAGAAGGATGAAAATTAGAAATGGGATATTAGAGATGGGATATTCATATTCATCTCCCGGGAGAGATGAATATGAATACTGCTACCACAGATGGTCAGGTCAATTGGACCCTCCCCCCAGAACTGGGCCCTTCACTTCCCATTTGTGGCACATATGCCGTTGTTGTTCATGCCGTATCAACTGCAGGAGTAACCTGGCTAGGGCTTCCCCACCTCCCGGAGCTGTTAACCAATCTGGTGAGGAGGCAGGATGACGGGTCTCCCTGCTCAGCTGCTGAGTGGTCAGCAACACAGGGAGGTGGGGAAGCCTCAGCTGGGCTACTTCTATGATTGGTGTGGCATGAATGATGACAGGCTGCATGTGCCATGCTGCAAGCACTAAGTGAATGGCCCAGTTCTGGGGGGAGAGACCAATTGGCCTGGCCACTTGTGGTGGCGAGATTCGTATTGCTTCCCCTCGAGAGATGAATACGAATATCCCATCTCTAATGAAGATCAAAGGACATGGGTAAATGACCTGTGTTGATAGTCACTGCTTTTTTATGGATCATATAGCAATTAATAAAATTAATTACCATGTAGAAACTAATAAAAAGGTTTTCTGCCTGACTTCCTAAGGAACCTCTGCTAGTTTGGCTAAACAGTATTAAGCTAGATAGGCTAATAGTCTGACCTAATATAAAGCAGCATCCTATATCCATAAGATAAGGAATGCTTAGAAAATGAGAACAGATACTTACCAGGAAGGCACAAAGCATATAGAAGCTGATGAAATAAAAGACAGCAAAACTGCTCCCACAGGAATGTTCACCTTCAATAGAGTTGTTTGGTTCAAAAGATTCAGGATCACATCTCTTATCTGGAAGGCATGCCAGCATGATTTCTTGCCAAGCTTCACCAGTAGCACATCTGTTGAAAGAGGGTTGATGAGGAAGAAGGTGAGGTCATCATTACCAGTGACATGAAAATCATTAACACGAAAGTAAATTCATCATTACTATCCTTACCCTAGAAAGCTCAGCAAGGAACTTCAGTTTCACTTCCTAATAGGAGCTGTGTACCTATATAACAGTCCTATAGCACCTAGTTTTGCAAAAGCTGTCATAGTTTTCTGAGTCAGTGACTAAGTTATTTCTGAGTTATTTCACAAATGGGGATCTTCTCTGTCATGTGCTATATTCCCTTGTGTATAGGTTGCGGTGTGTGAAATCTGTTTTGGGTCTCATGCAAGCTGAAGCTCATGCTATGCTGGGCCAGAGATCAAAGTAGATGACATCCTCATGCAAGCTGAAGCTCATGCTATGCTGAGCCAGAGATCAAAGTAGTTGACATCAATTATTTTATTTATTTATTTATTTATTTAAAATATTTTACCCACCTTTCTCCTTAAAAAGGACCCAGTGCAGCTTATATCATTGGAAGAAAATATTTAAATATTTTCTTTCTTTGCCATCTTCTTTTCCCTTCCCCTTCTATAGTATCTTTCTCCCCAATTGCAATATGATGTATGTCAGACTGACTTTGAAGAGTGTTCAGAAACTTTAGCTGGTTTAGAATACTGTAGCCAGATTGTGGAATGGCACTGGTTACAGGAAGCACATAGCACATATTCTTACTACAACAGCTTCACTGGCTGCCAGTCTGTTTTTGGATCCAATTCAAAGTGCTCGTTACTCTATATGGCTTGAGTGCAGGTAGACTGTAACACCTCATATAAGCCTTCTTGGCTTTTAATATCTTCTGGGGAGGCTCTTTTCTTGGTTTCAACACCTTCTCAAGCTTTATTTGGTGAGGGCATGTGGCTTTGTAATATGCTTCTCCATGAAGCCAAGTTGCCCCTCTTCCTTCCTGTTGTCAAACAGAGACTTTTATTTTCAGGCAGGCTTTTATGTGGCGTGTGTCTCGCAAAAATGCTATTTTTGTTGACTTTAGATATTTTTGTTGACTTTAGAGATCTTAAAATATTTTTAAAATAGTTTTTAAATATGATTTTTTTATTGATAAGTGTTTAATTGTTTTTTAGTAGTTTTTAATGACATTTTAAAATCTGTGATTATTGTATAGTTTTAATTGTTGTGAGCTGTTAGGTTCCCTGTGGGGAGAAAGACAGCATATAAATAAGATAGATAGGTAGACAGATAGATATAGATAGATTGCATTTGCAGAAGCTGAGCTTCTGACTTGCAAAAAGCTTTTGGTATTAGGCCAAAGGACACATAGATCAGAGTGGGCTTCATACAGCCTTAGGGGCACACGTTTCTTACTCCTGAGTTAGCAGATCATGCCACAGCACTTCTAACAGATACATGTAGACCAGTGGTTCACAACCCTAGGACTCCAGATGTTCTTGGACTACAACTCCCAGAAGCCTTCACCATCACCTCTGCTGGCCAGGATTTCTGGGAGTTGAAGTCCAAGAATATCTGGAGGCCCAAGGTTGGGGACCATTGATGTAGACAATTGTGATAGTATTAAGTCTTAAGTGTTTTTGGAGACAGGGAAGATGTAATGTAGGTTTTATTAAAGAAGCAGATAAACGTTCTGCAAGATACGGTGAATCATAGCCACACAAGGGGAGACCTACCTGAAAAGGAGCAGCACTGCCTGAGGGAAAGTCTGGAAGTTGTTGTTCCGATTGATGTCAGTGGTGTCATCCAGGGCAATTTTACCAAACACCTGGTAGAAAAAAGCAGCTTATAAGGTTATGCTTCACACAGTCTATCACACTGGTACTCTGATGAAAGACATCTCCGTCATCCACATTGGAATAGTTAAGATACTCAAGCTCAGTTTTGATATCTTCTCAGTTTCATGAATGTATGTGACTACTTTTCTAATAGTTTAATTTAACTGAATTAACCTTTCTTCTTTAAAGCCAACTCCAAAGCTATTGAAGCTCAGTGGAGTTCAAAATCCATGTATAACTCTTATGTCCCTCAAAATGTAACTACAAAGCATAAACAGCTGATTCTCTCTCTCTCTCACTGTACACACAAACAACAGTTCTCTCCATCAAGTTTCTCTTCCATAGCATTGACAAATCTTTCCATATAGTACTATGTGTAATGAGCCTTAAAGGTCCTTATAATCCCCTGATCTAGAGGCTGAATTAGAGATGTTGTGATGGTGGACAAGCAGACCATTTTTACACCTTCAGTATTTTTTTAAAATATATTTTTATTTATCTAAGAATAGGATAGGGAATACAAAAGGTGAAAGGGAGTGGAAGGAAAAGGAAAGGGTTAGGGAGGATAGGAGAACGCAAAATACGCAATCATCCAATCAAGTCATATTACAAAAACAAATCCACTTTCAGCTTTCTTTGTGTGTCTAATTCAATTGCCCTCCAGCTATCCACTTACAGCTTTATTTTAGTTTAAATCTATGTTACTCCAACACTGTCTGAGAACCATAGCCATTTGTGTAATAAATCCCATCCTTCAATTCCCTTTTGAATTGGGCAGTTATTAATCACATCTAAATAATTACCCATTTCTGTCTCATTCCATACTTTCTCAATAGACTCCTCTTGTTTCAGTGACTCCGCTTTCTTCCAATTTTTGGAAGGGGAGAATGAATCCAAAACAACAATCCAATTTTCAGTATCACATTTTCTGACTATAGTAATAGAATAAATCACTGGATAGCTCTTTACCCCATCTATATTGCTTGATATCTTACTCAATATGGGCTGTTCTGGGGTTAATAGAGTTTTACTTGACTGTTGTTTAGCATCTGATGACCTCTCTTTCATCTGATTTCCTATCTGATTAAAACGTTCATTTATTTGCTGGAATCCTGGTATTATTACACCTTCAGTATTGAACTCATAGGGTTTGGGGTTGCCAAGGGCACAGTATATATTGAATATTTATTTATTGAATATTGTTTACTTATTTGTTGTTAAAATCTAAGATTTGTGTCTTAATTATCCTGTTTTCTCAAAAGAAAAAAGATTCAGTTGCTTGAACCATCAATGCATTATTGGTTGTCAGAAGGTGTGCCATTCAGGGATATAAGTAGGGGAATCATCTTACATGGGACAACTGACAATATCTCATGTCTTCTGTGAGATTTTTTTCCTTTCATTTTCTCAGGCCATGTCCAAAGCCTGCTGAATCTTTGGCTCAGCTCTGCATATGCATCCTGCTGACTTTAATTGCTGCTACCATCCCCTTTTCATGTGTAGTCAGAAAACTAACTACTGTACACCATACTTCTTAAGGTAAAGGTTCCCCTTGACATTTAGTCCAGTTGTGTCTGATTCTAGGGGGCGGTGCTCATCCCCGTCTCCAAGCCGTAGAGCCAGCGTTTGTCCGAAGACAATCTTCCGTGGTCACGTGGCCAGTGTGACTAGACACAGAATGCCATGACCTTCCCATTGAGGTAGTACCTATTTATCGACTTGCATTTTTACATGCTTTTGAATGGCTAGGTTGGCAGGAGCTGGGACAAGTGACGGGAGCTCACTCCGTCGCATGGATTTGATCTTACAACGGCTGGGCTTCCGACCTTGCAGCCCAGAGGCTTCAGATCAGGAAAATAGCGTTTAAAAAGAAGCTCTTCAAAGTTTGTTACCTTAGGAGCCCTCTGGAATTCACCAGGCTCAAACTTTCTGGCCCAGTGGTTAGTTAGCAATGACAGCCATAGCTGTTCTGAGGGGGCACCAAGAGTTTACTATTGCAGGAGAACAGATTAACTATTTTGAGACATATTTTCCATCTTACAAAACAAGATTATGAGGCTACATGTAGAGATTTTATTCATCCTTTTAAAGTCTCCGTAAAACAGAAAAAAATGTGGGTAAAAATTAAGGTAAAACCAGAATTTTACTTAAATTGCACTGCAATTTAATTAAATTAAATTTACTTAAATTGCACTGCAGATTGCACGTTTTAGTGTTGAAGGAGACACAAAAAGAGATTCCTCCTGAGTACACTTGTAGAACTTGGTTGAACCTTCAAAGGAACACCTTCATCTATCACTATCAGTTGTTTATTCCCGCTTGATAACATAAGGGGGAGAAGCTTCAATACTGTGAAGCCTTGATATCTTGAAAGACAGCTGGGATTCTTCTCCTTCATCTCTTACCTGGACAACTCTTATGCCATTGGCAGTTCTTGTGCATCCAAAATGAACAACTCATCATAACATATTGAGATTTTGACTTCTTTTTAAAAAAATCATACACTGATTAGGTTCTAGCATTTTTCTTAAATCCTTTGTATTATGAGGAATACTCCTATATTCCCATCCACTTATGAACAGCTGAGGAAACAAATTTTGCAGAAGGTACTTCATTCTGTTATCACTACATGTCCTCAAAATACATTGGTGTTATTTGCCTTTTGCAATGTACTCTCTCTCTCTTTTACACTAACGAGTTGCATTACTTGCTACAGTGTTTGTTACACTGGACATTAGATGTGGCGTGGCTGGGATATATGTAACCTGTGCTGAGCATTGTTGCTTGCCTTGACTAAAGAATCTAACCATCTTGAGCATCATTCAGAGCAAAATGACATGTGTAATCGACATGTCCTAGAGTGGACAGAGCATTATTTTGTTCTAGTCTACCTTTTGATGGCCACACTCTGTGACCAATATTGCCAGAACTTTGTTAAAAGTTAAAAATGGAAAAAGCCCTAATCTTCTGTAGTTAAGATAGGCAAAACACCCACTGCTCTAAAATAAAGTAAAATAAAATAAAAGTAAAGGTGAATAAGGTATCTGCTGCATTAAAAAAGTGACAACTTTGGCAGACATGAACTCTTGTGGTTTAAGTATCTGGCTGTGGACCCAGAGGTTTGGAGTTCAATTCACCATTATGTCTCCTTGACAGGGTCTGGACTTGACCCACAGGGTCTCTTGCAGCACTGCAGTTCTATTATTATTATATTACATTGCAAGAAAATAAAACAAAACTCAGCAACACATTGTTATGCCTATATTACCTGAGACATATAATGCTTCTGCATGTTGCTTCCAAGCTATGTTTCTTATTCTGAAAGTACATCTTTTTCTAGCAGAACACTAAAACATACCCCAAAACTGTATTCACTTAAAAGGTGTGCCACAGCTATCAAAAACTGGAAAACACTGACTGAATTGGTGGAATATAAGTTGATCAAAATGCCATTTTATGTTCTTCCATCAATTTGTGTGTATTGATACTGCTAATATAAATACAGTACTTAATTTCTATAGGCACAATTATTTCAACATATCTGTATTGCCACCTCACTATTTTTCTGCAGGTCTTAAAAATCTTACAGTGAAAAAGATTCTTTTCCTACTAGTCTCTTCATAGATTTATTTGGATGAGAAACCAATTTTCCTCAGAAGTCACCTACCTGCATCCCAATCACAGCGTAGATGAAAAACAGCATCACTATCAAGAGAGCCACATAGGGGAGGGCCTGAAGGAAGAAAAGATGATGATGTATCACTCCGTAAAACACCTTGTTAAGCCCTAGGATAGTCCTTGACATCCTGACATAACTGAAAGAACCTTAGAGGAAGAGACAATGACCAAAAATAGCTTTGCTTTTTGAGTGTGCAACACAGCATGTGTGAATGTATTTATACTTACTTCTTTTTTAAAAAATCATACAGATTAGGTCCTAGTATTTTTCTTAAACCCTTTACTTGACTGTTGTTTAGCATCTGATGACCTCTCTTTCATCTGATTTACTTAAACAGAAATGAATAGTATATACTTATGCTATATTTGAGTCATTCACATAGGGTGACATCCAAAAAGGAAACTTTGAGAAAGGAAACATTAGCAGTAGTTGTCCTGTTGGATAGTGCATATAGTGCGGTAGTTAGAATACTGGACTAACACTGGGAAAACCCAAGTTCAAATTCTCATGTAGCCATTCAGTTCATGAGATATATTTGCATCAGCTGATTTTCTCCCCTCATCCTGTCTCTCATCCTGACCCTCACCATCACGTTCATAATGTTTATCCTTCCTGAGTATTATAAGTTAAAATGAGGGTGGGGGAAGAACCATGTACATGGCCTTTGCTCCTTGGAAAAGGAAAAAAGGAAGAGGAGGAAGAGAACCATTTATACTGCCCTAAGATTAACTGGAGGAAAGGTGGATATAAATGTAGCAAACAAATAAATGTGTAGTTAAAAGTAGTGATTCTCCTAATATTGCTAATCAGCATAATTTTTATTTATGGGAAGCTGGAATCTATGCTTCCACTCCTTCTCAGACATGTGCATTTCTGTTCTGGACATGACAACATGTCAAAAAAAATATGGAAGCACTTGTGCATCTGATTTTTAATTCTGTGTATTATGCACAATCTGAGTAGCATGGAATTGTTGTAATTGATTCATTTGTCCAGTAGGTGCCTCTACAGATCTTTTTTCTTTTTTCTTTGGAACACCTACTCTAGAAGATCATATAACACAATACCATCTCAATTATTTATTATTTATTATTTCAACTTGCCTATTGTTTCCTTAGTCCAGATTTAGTGCAGAGCAGTTTACAAACATCAATCATCATTAAAATAAAAAAACCCCACAAAATTACAGTATAAATAAATACAATAAAACCTTGTCACTAGCTAAAAACCTGTATTTAAATAGAACCGACAAATTTAAAACCGATTTGGGCATCGCAGACCAATGGTTAAAAGCAATAATAAAAGGCAGTTTTATACGATTCTCTTTTTATTAGTTTCCTAAAAACTGAGAGGGATGACATCTGATGAACCTCTACAGGAAGCTTATTCCAGACAGAAGGCACCATGACTGAGAAAGCTTAGTTCCTGGTGCTAGCTCTTTTGGCCTCCTTGGATGTAAATTTTTAATATCAAGGAGTGTGAGGAGTGGGTGCGACAAGTAGTTGTCCTGTGGGAGAGACATTCCAGTAAGTATCAAGATAAGAGGTGGGCTCCCGTTCCCTGGCTCCTCAGGCAGGTGCTCACTCAGGGACAGTGTTTTGGGCTTCCCTGCCCAGCTCCTTCCTCTGAGTGGGCATCTGCTAGAGGGAAGCCTACGGAACACTTGTGTGTCCAAAGAACAAACCATTACGAACCTTAGTTCATGCCCATCTCTAATCAAAATCCTAAACTGTTAAGGGCTGTATAGGTCATTATCAGTATTTTGAATTGGGCACAGAAACTACCAAAGCAGGCATATATACTGAGAACAGCTCATTGTTGGCAAGTCTCAGCATAACTAGTTGCACAGAAAAAATCAGTTGTAATTAATTTCTTTTCTGACGAATGGAGGTACAACTGAGGGTATAGCGAAATGGGAAGCAACTCTGCCCCAAATGAGCATGGCTGGTCACAGTTGGTGCTGCAGACCAGGGATCATCACAGTTCACATCTCCACTGCACTGCAAAGCCACATCTTTGAATATTGCTTTGTTAAGAAAGAAATCCTTATCAGGTCTTGCTTTGTATGATTATTTTTCTGACATTAACATCTGTGTTAGCAAATGCAATGCATGAAGTGGTGCATGATAATGATAATATGTTGTAAAGTTGAGTTTGACTTATGACAAGCCTCTCAGGATTTTCTAGGTGTAAAATACTCAGAAGTGGTTTACCAGTCCCTCCTTCTGGTGGCACTCTGGGACTATGCAACTTGTCAAGACAACACAAGTGGTAGAGCATGTTACTCCACCAGGCACATACTTCAAGTGATCTTGGCTGGTCCCCCTTCTTGGAAGGCACAGCGGGAATGTGAACTCCTGACTCTTCTTTCCGCAGTCAGATATTTCAATTGCCTGGCCTGCATCAGCTTGGAGTGATGCTCACACTAGGTAATATCAACAAGCTCATTTGACCAAAACAAAGAAAATCCACCGAGCTCTTTACTGATCTAATAGTGTGATTACATAGCAAGAAAAATGCAAATGGACCCACTGTGAAGCTGTACTTGGGAATTTGGGCTTCCCTGGGTTAATTTGCTTCTACCAACCACACTAGATCCAGCAGAGAGGGAAGAAAATCAGCCTTATCTGCGGCTTGGTGTTTTAATCTTCTGCTCTCCACACCTGGTGCCTGGTTCTGCTTTCCCTCCTCTTCTCTTTGTTTGTTTTTCCTTTCTTTTAAAGGCTTCCTGTACTACTGTTAGAGCAGTTGGCTGATCAAAGGAACAAATATTGAGTTGCAGTCAGCAGAAATACTGGAGAAGGCTTTTTCTTCAGCCTTGTTTCGGCTTCTTAAGGTAGCTCTGCTTTGCTCTTACTGTCTAGATTTGCAGGAGGTGCAGTTAGAGTACTTCCTTAAAATATCCCCCGGCACTAGATTAGTAAGCCTTTAAAAGAAAGGAAGAAAGAAAGAAAGGGAAAAGAAGGGAAGAAAGCAGTCCCAGGCACCATGCGGGGAAGGAGAAGATTCAAATGGCAGCCTGTTTCCCCTGCTACCCTGCCTTTCTCAGTACTTCTGGAGAGACTGGAATGGTATGAAACAGAATAGCTGCAAACACTTTGAAATCTGCTCAAGCAATCACACTTTTAAAACCAATGAGAAGGCATTTGATTAAAAAAAAAAGAGAAGCCCCAGAAGCAGAGAAGAAAAATATGGATTTGTGGAGGAAGACTCTGGACTCATTTGCTTTGAGTTTACATCATGTTGTCAATGGAAAATAATGTGAATCAAACTGCCCCAATCCTGGAGCATTTCCCACATCCCCTGCACAAGTGGTCCCTAACTTTTTTAACAGCAAGGACTGGTTTAGTTGAAGACCATTCTCCCAAGGACTGGGGGGGGGGGTACTTGTTATGCAGGAGGTTATTAGAGGATAGCTTTGAATCGAGCTCATTACATGTATTGTGCCAGGACAGATGAGCAGCTAGCAGGAGGAGGATTAAGCATCCTTCAGTCTGGAGAGATTGTGGTAATGTGCTCTGAATAGAGGACTTGGAACAGTCCTCTATTCAGGGTGGCTGAGAAGGCCAATTCAAGAGTGACAATCCCTTCTTTGCAGTCAAATACAAATACAATCTTTCCCCGTCCAGTTCCCTGGTTTTGCTGGTTTTGGGACTGCCTCTTTGCCTCAGCCTGCTGAACAAGGGTCTCTTCAAATTGGAAGAGGCCATGCTGCACCGCCTGTCTCCACGCTGAACGCTCAGATGTCAAGGTTTCCCATCTGCTGAGGTCCATTCCAAGACCTTCAGATCCTGCTTGCAGATAGCCTTGTATCACAGCTGTGGTCTCCCTCTGGGGCGATTTCCCTGCACTAATTCTCCATACAGGAGATTTTTTGAGGAGGAGAGCTGCAATTGAAGTTCTGCCTCCTGTTAAATCAGCGAAATTGAAGTTCCGCCTCCTGTTAGATCAGCGCAAGCTTCTATTAGATTCTAATGCCACAGGCATAGCTAATCTAGCAGCAGCAGGAGGGGAGCGGGGAGCGAAGCTCTGCCTCCTGTTAGATCAGAACCTAATAGGAGTGCGCTGACAGGAAGCAGAGTTTTGCTCGCTGCTCACCTCCTGCTCGCCGCTCATCTATCCCGGCGACCCGGTCCTTCCAAGGCCACGGAGTGGTACTGGTACATGGACCAGGGGTTGAGGACCCATGCCCTCCACCACCGTCCCTCATCCAATTTGCTCTGCTCTGGTATGCCTGTGCATGGAAACAACTCCCAAAATGGAGAGCCATACAAGAATAAATACGTAATGCTAAAGCAGGGAGTACAACTGACACAAGTATCTGTATTCTTCCAAGTCAAAGCCCTACGAGTAGAAATGAAAGAATACCTGGAAAGACTTGATGAAGGTCCACAGCAGTGTGCGGATGCCCTCTCCTCGACTCAAAAGCTTCACCAGGCGCATCACACGAAAGAGTCGGAAAAAGGTGATTGAGATGCGAGAATTTTCTTCAGCGTTCTGGAACCCATTGGTATAGAGGGCAGTAATAACAACAGTAGATGAAGAACACAGATTTTGGGACACACAAAATGCTACTTCAAAGGAAGAGTTCACTGCACTGTTCCCCTGCCATACAGATTTTTTCACTAACCTCTTGCATTCAGATGGATGAATGTACTGTAGATCGAATGTAACTCTTCTAAGACTATGTTGCTATGTCTTTTCCCCCTGCTTCCTCAATTGTATACAGTTCTTCATTTTTAAGTGGCATTATCAACATCTTGTACTGCCTTTCATGTATTTGGTACAAAGCAGGAGGAGGTACAGGTTAAACCTTTAAATACTTCAAACCTTTGAGACAAGCTCAGCTTGGTACAGAAGGACCCTGCACAGACACTGTTTCTTTGCATGATGGTTGCTATTGAGATTACAGCAATCTGCAGCTGTGATGATCTGCCTTGAATGTATAACTTGTCTATAATGAGGTGCATTCCCTATGCATTAGCTGAGCACTGATGTGCAATCTCTTTTCAAGTGTCTCAGTAATTTATACAGGTGCATATACAGCTATGGCATTTTTCTCACAAATATTCTCTTTTGCCAGGAGAAAAAATAATGGCTGTCCACACATAATCTGGTCTTTCTAAGAAAGTTTTTGATCACCATACAAGCATAACCTTGAAAAAAAATTGTTCATGCCCAATGATAATTTAATCCTCAATCCTGTTTAAGGGTATTTGTGAAACTGCCCCAAACTTCAAAAGTGTGGAATTTAACATGCAGTTAAATGAAATCTTACTGCTGAGATTCAGGAACTAAACAACATTGAACTTCTCTTTGCTTTGCTGGTAACTGAGAATCTATGGCAGAAACGGTAGGAGAATGTAGCCCATCAAGGAGGAGACAGCAGTTTTCAACCATAGGCAGCAGCAAAATAGCAAGAAAAAGACAGTGTGACTGATGGCTTAATGGCCAAGGCTTCTCTGAATTTTTTTCCTGACAAAGTGAATGCATGAGTAAATATAATGGGAAGCAGTATAATATTCATGTATATTCTTCAATGAAAACTAATTCTTAAAATGTTTAACCTTTAGTTAAACATTTCTATGAGATAACTTAAATCTTTTGTTTCTTCTCTGAGAAACAGCAGCAGTTCCAAAGTATGCTTCTGAAACATGCATCCCTTTTAGTGAAGCATGAACTGAAAAACAAAAACAAAACAAAAAAAAAACCAAGCTAAATGTCCCAGGATCCAACAGTCCCAACCATTCCTTGTTTTTTTTGTAGCTTTGAACTAAACATTCATTTGTTTTTACTGACCAAGGATCTAAGAGTCCCGCCATTTCTTGTTTTTTGTAGCTTTGTACTACACATTCATTTGTTCTTACCATCCTTGATAGTTCACATGACCCCTGGGTGTTTCCCACAGCCTGTATAGTGCCTTGATAAAGCAGTTATTTTGACCTGAATGCTACTGTTTAATGATCCCTAGAGTTTCAAGTAACATTTTAAAAAATCTGGCTTCTGCTCTGCTTTGTCCTTAGAATTCAGTTCCCCTATCCAGTTCCCTGTGGGGCCAGTGGCTAATTTGAATATAATCTGTGCTACACTCATCCCAGGACAAGTGTTTCATTAACTTAGATCAGCTAGTGGAATTGACTTATGTGAAAAAACTCAACACCAAGCATGTATATTGAGAAATTATGTTGTCAAAGATGGACCAACAAAAATGCAGAGTTTTAATGTCCTAAAATATTGTGCAGTTTGCCTATAAAATATACTATGGAACCATAGCCTGGTGCCATAGTAGGAAATATCACCCTTCTGTTATGTTTCTTCTTCCTTTATTACTGCAAAACCAAATGTTTTATAATCAATAATGAAGAAATACCTGACCAGGAAACAGTGCAGATCACTCCTGCAACACACAAAAATGTATACGAATACCTCAATCTGATCTACTCACCATTGTGCATACCAGGAGAGAACAGAATCCTTAATTTCCTGTTATGAATTTTAAATTAGCACTTCTGGCTTGTTTATAAATTTTGAGACCCAATCAAAGACTACAGTTCCTCTTGTATTTTGCCTCTTTTTTATCAAAATAATTTCCTTCACATAGCACATACAAATAAAAAAGGGGCCATAACCAGAATTTACTTTTGCTTTCATTTAATATTCATTAGGTCTTTATCGTTATATAATTCATCCCTGTCCCTTTTTTCTTTTCTTTTTGCTAGGCTTGCAAAACTTGGTTTTGACCCCTTAAATTGGTTCTGCAGTTGATTTTACAGAAGAACACTTGCGTTGCACCAAGTGAATGAGGGAATGTCAAGTCAACTCACATCCCAAGGGAATACTGTGATGCATCCAGAGTGAAATGCCCACTGCCATAGGCAATGCTGATGGCTCCTTTTGCATGGTGTATCTAGCCTGCAAAATTAGATTTGAAGCAAAGAAAAGGAACACAATCTGAATTTGGGAATAGTGTGAGACAGGAACCAAAGGAAGAAGTGGTATTGTTTTAAAAGTCAATAGTTGCGTCTCACAAACCTTCAGTATTGTCTTTCCTATTAATTAGGGGGCATTTCCAAACCCCTGCAATATTGTAGGAGTGTGAGAACCAGTGCAGTGTAATGAATTGAGTGTTGGACATGATTGAAGATACCTAAGTTCAAATTCCCATGCAGTCATGAAAATCCACTGGGGATAGCAATGGTAAACCACTCCTTGAACATCTCACCTTGAGAAACCTAATAGGTGTTAATTCAGAAAAAAAAACCTTGATGTTGCTTACTTCCTTTCTTTAGGATGAAGTGAGTACATGTATAGTGGAAGGTTTTTAACAAATGAGGCCCAACTTTTTATATCTTTTCTCTTGTATTCTACTATTAAGGATCAGTGACTAGGTTGGGAAAGAGCTTTTAGGGTTAAAGCTTTCAAGAAAAATGGTTCCTGACAGCACATAACAGCGTTACTCAACCCAGTGGTTCTAACTACATCCCAGAACTGAAATGGTCAACTATTATAACATGTCCAGTTATTATAATGGCTATTTCTTAGCTGGCAGGCAGACAGACATGGCTGCTGCACAAGTGGCTCTAGAGCAGCATTGTGGCTTCATAGCAAAATTGTGAACAAAGCCTCAACAAGCAATCACTCTGCTAGTCTTGCATCAGACCACATTCCCCTTTCTTCTCCTGGTATTTTGGCTTTATAGTTGCCCTAAGAAAATGCACTAAGAATAGTGCCTGACTGATGGGGGCAGCTGGACCTGTGCTGGTGCTCAAACAATTAATCGGAGTATTGCCACAGAATGGGAGCAAGTGGGGTTGCTGTTGAATGAACATCAAGTTAGATAAATTCACTGGCTTAAGGAAGCTCCCCAGCTTTTGAAAGGAAAAATTTGGAGATTAGCTGACAGAGGCTGGTGGCAGGGCCAGAGGAGCCTGGGGGTTGTGACTATTCTCATATTTTATCTGCACTTGTTGGGTATCCGCTACATTTTCGCACACACAAAAACAAGAGTGGGTCTTGTTCACAGTTTCAGTTTGTTGTGCAAAACCATCAAATTGTTTTGAAGAGTTAATTTATTACTGAACAAACAAGAAATCTGAAAAGGATTTTAGTTCTCTCTTGGTAATTCATAAAACAGAAGAACAATAGTTAAGTTGACGGAGAGAAAGCTCAGAGATGCGCAAGTAATATAGATCATGTGCTACACAATCAACAGCTCATGTGAACACGAGACTCAACAAACGGATACAAGACATGGCTTCATGCAGAGAAAACTAATCTAGGCTTGGAGACAGAAACCTAGGTGGTCAGGGAGGAAAAGGAATAAGGAGTGTATTAGGATATTAAGGACTGTGTCACAGAAGAAGCTGCGAGGGGATTCTGTTAGATCTTACCATAGAGGAAGAACATTGGGTATGTTCAGCTGGCTTTAAAGAAAGGCAGACAGAGATAAGCTGTAATAAGTCTCCATTGAAAAGGTCCAGTAGGCTATGTTTTGGATTATACAGGAACAACAAAATGTCATAGCAAACGAGTAGAGTAATTTTTTTAAAAGCCTATATGATTTTAAAAAAGACACTGATTCTCTAGAATGCAATGGATCAAATTCAAAAATAGTAAAATTGATGGGATTCTCCCGCTGAATACAGCAGAATGCATATTCATGCATAAATCTATGGCAGATATGAATTTTAATCCATTGTTTTATAGATAATATAGAGAAATTGTGAGCTACTGAAAAGAGATCTGGGAGTTACAGGTTTCTTTTTTGTATCTAATTTCACATATACTCTTGCAGAGTGGAGTACTAGAACAATTTACTTAGAAGAGTCTTATTTACTTAGAATAGTATCGTTACCAATACTGTTCTAGAGTAAGTGGTTTTAGGAGTACAACTATAATAAATGTCATGTAGTATTTACAAAAGGCCCTCTGCTTGTCTTCTAGATTTCACACTTTACTGACAATCACTTGTAGGATCATAAATGTTTAAGATTTATTTTACTAATAACTGAGCTCATTTCAGACTAAAAAATAACCAGTTATTGTGCAATCCTGTATATTTAAATAGATCCAGAAGTAAGTCCCTTTTCTCTAGCAATTGTGACTAAGATCGCAGTTTTACTGTTCTTAGTGTAGTTCAAGGAAAAAAGAATCAGCTAAAATAGACTCTGGAGAAAGATTTAAGAAGCAGAGCTGTAGAAAAAATGCCTTAACCTGAAACAGATTTATAACTAATGTAATCTATACTTTCTGCTCTCCATTTCAGTGTTCCTATGGGGGCGGTCTTAGAGAAGTCTTTCAAAGATTAATACCTATTGGCCTTTTAATTGGAAATGCCAACTCGTACATATACCACTGGCTTCTGTTCTGCTTCACATGAATGTAAGAAGTTTTATCAATTGATTTTATAGATTTTTGTTGCAGCCGAAGTTTGATAAATCCAAGGCAGAGATTTATCTGTTTTATTAAAAGTAGGATGCAAACTCCATGCACACAGAGGTTGCAGAGAACGCTGCAATGGTTTTATCATGATATACACTGAACAGATCTAACAGTTCAATGCTGCGACAAAGTACTACACACAGAGAAGCTAACATCTATGCACATGATTACCAGTGATGTGACCTGTGTTTCTCACAGGCATAGCAGTTGTTCAGTCCATTTTTTTCTGCCTGCTTTATAACAATAGTTATGTAGATCTATTGCCTCTTCAGCAATTGCTAAATTCCTTCTGGAACTTCTATAGCACAGCCATGCTATGAGTACACTTGTTTCCACTCTGTGCTATTTTAAATGAACCTTATCATTTTTGATGTCTCAAACATTCAATTATATGCATATGATACAATAAAAACATTTACAACTGTTGGTGCATTCTGGCAAAGCATCTTCAATACTGAATAACTACCGTCAACTAAAAGGTTTTACTGTCTCTTTTGACTCAAATTTTAGCAACTTGTAGCAATTTTAGCAAAACACTGACATGATCAAAATATTGATGCAATGGATATTAAAACTGCCTTTTCATTTCTTCTCTCATCTTTTCTTCCATTTGAGATGTCTTGTGTCTTTAATATCTATGATCGGTATTACTGACATTTTATCTAAATTTAGCTGCAATCCTATATACACCTATCTCAGAGAACATCCTACTAAGCTCAATGAAGCTTACAGTGAAGCCATGTGCAAGATCCCATGTTCATTTTTTAAAAACAAAATTGTGGCTTATATTATACAGATATTTCCTAAAATTAAAAACTTAATTATATCATACACTTTAATTTTATTATACATGCCTACTATGGACACTTCATCACTAATAATCTGATAACTAGGGGGAGGATTTCTATGACATTTCATATTTTCTCTGCAACCTACATTTGAACATATAAGGAAGTTCAAACATGTTTATGAGTAATCTGGCCTTTCTCACCAGATCACTCATAAACATGTTCAAAACCACTCATAAGCTCAAACATAGGTGCAGAAAAAACTTGACATGCCATAGAAATCCTCCCCCTATTGGTAACTATTTGCCATTCATTTAAATGCACCTTTGGATATCATGACTTAAAACCTTAAAAACTGCCTTCCCAGATCGGAGGCTAGGTCTGTCTGATCCAGCTGTTCCTCTTCAGCCATGGCCAACAGAGTGTCTCTTCTTCATTATTTTTCAAATCTCAATATATTTTTGATGAATTTCAAATGGCATACCATACCATAAAGGAGAAAAAAGCTGTAATGATCTCTCTAATGGCACTGTGATATTTGCTGTTTTATTTGTAACAATCAATTGTCAAAAGAAAGGAAGAAACCTGTCCATATTTATACAAATTCATAATGTCTGAAGAGTCATATAGGCATTCTTATATAGAGAAGACTTATAATATAGAGAATTTACATTTTTGGCATTGTTTGCTGTTTTACATTTAGGAGGTATAAAAATGTGTACTGTGCAGTTTTTTTTTACTTTTCTGAGACAAGAGTAGTAAAAATTGATTTGTAAAGTCTGAATTAATGGCCAATTTCCTATTGGTGATTTATGCATAAGTTAAAACTATGTAATGTACCATGAATTAAATTATTTCCTTTATGCAAGCAAAATTAACAGTATTATTCTGGCCATGATCTGTTTGGTTCCTCCAGACACAATAATACTGACCTTATGATTTGAGTTTTATTGCTGAATCAGATTATTGGCTCTTAAATATATGTACAAAGTTGAAGCCAGGCCTGGATTCTTTAATAGCTATCATTTAGTTTTCCTTTAACCACAGGCATCAGCTATAATATGCAGGAGATCTGCATCCTTGGCAAAAAAATCCCTTACTTCCATTATAAAAGTTTTCATGAAAAAATGTCCCCAACATATTGGTTCTAGAAGAGAAGAACAGGTTGCTTTCTGGTAACTGTATTTTTTTTTCATGCAATCATCTGTGAACTCACACACATGGGTGCTGTCCCTGGTGGAAGGAGAGCCCCAATTAGAACCATTTAGATCTGAATAGTTTTTGGCGGAAACCTCACTTCCACTTCTACACTGCACATGTCCAAATGTTTCTTCAAGGCATAAATCTAAATGTCCAGACTGATTTATATTTGCTTTTTCATTATATGGTCAACAAGAAAAAAAAAAAGTGAACCAGTCCATCCCAATACTGTAGTATTTCCCACCTTATTTGCCAACAGAGTTACACCCTGAGTCAGAACCAAGGCTGTTGATGGACTTTGCAAAGTCTACAGTGCTGTTGCCAGAGAAATCTGATGAAGAGGCAAATCTTCAGACACATTGATGCAGTCACCCATTTTGATGGGCAATGTGATCAAGGGGTCAAGATGATGTTACTGTAATTCAGGCCTGAGAATGGCCTCTGCTTCAGTGATCCAGGCATGAAAGTTGTGGTCAGCAACACTTCTGTGCCAGTGACCAGCTTTGATATTGATGTCTTCATGTTGGGTATCCATACTTCAAGAAATCACATCTGAAATACCTAATATATGACTGATCATTAATTAATTAACATAGTATCTTGGAGTGGTAGAACACATATGAGTACACTAATCCTTGAAGCACGTGATTGATTGATTATCCTATTTTGATGTACTTCATGCTCACTGAGCAGACTGAACAGTCTTCAGAACTTGGGGAATTACTCTCTCTTTGATCATGAGTGGAACGGATAACTCTTAGGAAGCTTATGTGAACTTCAGCCTCTGCTGGGTCAAAAGGTACTGAGAAGTTTCCCTCCACATATTGCTTCATCCAGAAATGGTCCCTGTGCTTCCTGTTCAAACTCATCCAGAACAGGAATGACTGAAAAATTGTTGATTTTGTTATGTTGCCTGAAACACCTCCTGTGCAATCAATGTGAAGAGATGATGGCAGTATGTCAGATGTCAGCATAGGCAGAACTGTCAGATGTACTGAATAATCTTTTCAGGATAGCAGGGAGATGCTGATGTAGACAAAACTATAGGTATTGTTTGTTATTGTTACTGTCATTGGAACTGATGCATTTGTTAACACTGGATGCCAAAGCAGTTGGTTTTGATATCAAGATAGTTGGTGCTGATAGTTCAGCCAATGTCAAAGCTGAAATTAGGGCTGTGGTAAGTACGTACTTGCTTGGGCAGAGTTTTGCATCCCAAACAGAATAAAGTGGTTTGGGCTGCCAAGTCAGCAGCCTGAACATATTTTTTTCTGAAGATGTCAGCTCTGCTTATAATCTGTTTTCCAGATGCTGACTTCAGTAAATCTTCTACAGATAGAGCAGTAGTTGGTCAAGTAATCCTTTCCGAAACAAAAGAAGGAAGTTGACATTCCCATTTTGAGGAAACTGTCTTTGTAAGCAATACACTTCCTTTAAAAAGGCTGCAGAGGCCATAAAAAAAATGAGAAAATGGCTGTTTCAAATGTGAGCAACCAGAAAATAAATACTAAATAAGTTTAGAAGGAGCAAATGCTTTAAAACTTGAACAAAATGCACTCCAAACACTTTTCTGAAGAGATGCTGCTAGTGTAGTGGATGGAAAGTAACTGAGAGAAAAACATTAGGGAGTGACTGGATGTGCACACTGGAACAGGTCTGAGTAAGTTCCCATTCAGAATTCATATGTAGAAAGTTCTGAACAAACTGTGTGGGTGCAGCACATTTATGTCACAGAGACAACCAAGAACCAGTAGGACACCAGTTTTAGTACACAATCTGAAGATCAGGTGTGATTGGAGATCCTCATATAGTCCAGCAGCACTATGTACATTCAAGAAGGTTTGGGAAAGTAAGAAGTACAGAAAATTATTTTTTAAATACTCTAAGCAGAAGAGGATAACACAACAAGCGAAGAGTGTGCTTAGTGGCCACAGAATGTTGACCAATGTAGATGAGACAGAAAGAAAGGAAGTAGAAGGCAGAGTGGGGATAAG